AAAGAGACAACCTCCGATTCTGGAGGTGGAGTACCATCTCCTGACTTCGGTCAGCACTTCAGCACAGCCTGCAAGGTATCACTGCTGCAAGGCCTGCACGACGCACACAAATTCTTACCCAAAACGCACTAACACAGAACCCTAAATAATGTTGTATGTATTCTAGGCCAAAATCTTGAGATGGGACATTAATCAAGTAGACTTTGTAGAAACTAGTGTTTCAGCTTCTGATTAAAGACAATTTTTCTGTTGAACAGGGTCTTCCAGCAGAGGACAAAGTCACCCAGTGACCTGTGAGAGGGGACAGGCACGGACAGGGAACGGTGAATCAGGGTGAATCAGGTGAATCAGGACAAGGGGCAATGGGCACAAACTGAGGCACAGGAAGTTCCGTCTGAACATGAGGAAGAACTTCTTCCCTCTGAGGGTGACGGAGCCCTGGCCCAGGCTGCCCAGGGAGGCTGTGGAGTCTCCTTCTCTGGAGATATTCCAGCCCCGCCTGGACAAGGTCCTGTGCAGCCTGCTCTGGGTGACCCTGCTTCAGCAGGGGGGTTGGACTGGATGACCCACAGAAGTCCCTTCCAACCCCTACTATTCTGTGATTCTGTGAATCCAGCTGACCAGACAGTTACTGCTGCACAAAGTTAGCCAAGTGATTTTTCACCCCACCCCAAATACAGTAGATGCAGTTTTTTGTAACAGAAAAGGGCAGTGTCACCTTGTGCTTCAGTCTCCTACTCAGCTAGTACGAGAAAATGCTCGACTATACAGGCTCAGGCCCCATCCCCCCTACACCTTCTTACTTTCCCCATACCTGTTTAGCTTTGTCCAGATAATTATGGTAAGATATTAATGCTGTCAGTACTGGGACTACAGCCAGATGCAAATCAGTGCGAGAAAAGCCGTCCGGGGTACCGTGGAGCCTGTCGGTAGTCTTCTTGTCTGTGAGCTGACAGATCACACAGTAAGTTAGAACACCTCACACGAAAAATACTCTCTAAAAGGCAGTAGGACAGGCACTGCCCATAGCTCCCTTTTCACATGTATACATATGTACACAAAGAACACTCATTACTACCTACTTCTGTACCTAAAACGACCCTCACAAAAAGAGAAAGTGAGTGTGGATTGACAACAGCATGCTAATCTTCAACATATTAGACTGAATCAAAAATAAAAAAACCTCAAAAAAACCCACCAACCAACCCTCAAGCAAACTAAGGATCTGGTAATTCTACACCCGCAGGGTGCGTGGCATTACCATGTAGCTCAGCGCAGAGGCCAGCAGGTCTATGTTACAAGGAGAGGTTAAAAACAGGACTTTATAGCGCAGGGATTCCGGTAATTTGTTGAGGACCAACTTCAACACCTTCCAGTCTGTCTCCTGGAAAGAAAGAGAAAGTTAAGGTGGCAAATTTTTGTACCCTTTCAGTTCAGTTTGAAAGTAAGACCAATCAAATTTCAGACAAAGTGCCATTTCCTAGGCAGACAGATGTCTTGTGACAGCTCAGTGCCACTACTTTTTATGTAACTACCGTGACAAGTTCCTTCCTGTCCGCCATCCAGCTCTAGGTGCAATATTAGGACCACAAACTGGAAGACAACTGGTATCCAGATCTGACTGAGCTCCAAAAAAGGAGCCAGAATTCAGTTCTAACCACCAGCACAAACTAACTGCCAGAGCAAGACAACCCCTCCGCACCTACCTACGTCCAACACAACACTAACAAGGTATATTTACAGTTTATTGGCGACTGAAACATTTATCAATTCTCAAAACACTTCAGAAACTTGCAGTAGGAGGGCGTCTTTTAGTTTCAAATGTCCTTTCAGAAACAGGATGATTTGTTTGATCTTTGTTCAACAAACACATTTTTTGCCCTTGTCTGCTCTGACGCGGTGAGATGAAAGCTCTGCTTGGTTTCTGAAGAGCTGCCCAGGGAGGCTGTGGAATCTCCTTCTCTGGAGATATTCCAGCCCCACCTGGACGCGGTGCTGTGCAGCCTGCTCTGGGTGACCCTGCTTGGGCAGGGGGTTGGGCTGGGTGACCCACAGAGGGCCCTGCCAACCCCACCATGCTGGGATTCTGTGAACTGGTGCTCCCACTGGTGGCTGGAAAGCTGCAGTCACACACAGGTTCTGCCCAGGGAGGATTTACGTGTTGCTTTTCAGACATTATTTAGATACTCTCAGATAGAATTCTCTCGCCAGCTGGTTTAAGCTGACATATTTCACGTTAGGAAATGTCCTTAGGAGTGGACGTACTTGCTTCAAACACTGCAGAAGGACGCCAAAGACCATGGAGTAGGGCAGATGCCCTACGCGAATGGTGGCGTTCTGGGAAGGCACGCTGGGACTTCCTGAAGGCGGAGAGAGCGTACCAGGAGGCTTTTTCTCAGAAGCCCTCTTCTCTGCTTCTCTACAGAAGCAAGGGAGAAAAAGACACATAATGTAAAAGCAAGATCAGAACAGCCTATTCATGTGATCTATGGTGATACTATTTGGTAGCCAGTTTAATGACCAAACAACAACATAAATTGCATTTTCAATTAAAAAACACAGGCTTGCCCAGTAGGCAGACAGCAATGCGTCAGTTTGGTCAGGTTAGGGATTTTTCTATCCAGGCCCCTAGCAAACTGAGAAAGATATCTTTTGGGGCATGTTACACAAAGAACTTCAGACCAAGCTATCAAATTAAAAATAGCCAGATCTGTACAAATCATTGAATCAAACCTCAATGTGAAAACTGGTTTCAGGTAGGAAACTGCAAATATTTTTGTGAAGTTTTGTGAGCAGAAACAGAAATTTCATGTCTGAGATTGAGAGCTCTGTAGATAAGTGATTTGCAGGAACAATTCGCCAATTAGATACTAGTTGAGACAATCCTAGGTTGTAACTACAGACTTGTCTAGCAGGTGATTCATCTGGATTTGGAAGATTTAGAAAAACTGCAGATTGCTACCGATGGACCGTTAAGCTCACGCAAAAGTACCAACTAGTATGGAAAACAGCTTTTGCTTAATGCAGTGAGAAACCTACACAAAGTCACACAGACAGTACGGGCTGAACCTCACTGCTCCATCCTTGTTGGAAAGGCCAAGACGGTGGAGGGAGTCAGCTCGAAGCATCAGTAGGAAATCAAATACCTGTAACGGAGAAGACATCAGAATCAGTCAAAACACAAACCAGTCAAATGCTCTCCCACCTCCCCACATGATTCCTTTGCAAGTACACACTCCTATCAGACAAGAAACATTTCATTCTACTTCTGGAAGGCCACATGCAGCTCTCGACCTGAAAGCATCAGTTACTGCTCATACCTGCAGTCGGATGCTGCTAGCAACAGCAAGGCTGTACGCGTATATATAATGGCGCTGGACGTGGTGGATGAGCATCTCGTACACCCGCATCGCGTGGCTGGAGGGTAAGCTGTAGAGTTTTGTCTACAGAGGAACAGAAACACAAACCAACAGGCAGACTGACGCCTGTTTGTCAGAAATGTGTACGTGCACTAAGAATTCAAGAAAAACACAGCAAAAACTTGCTCCTGAAAGTAAGATGAACAGCTGGCTCTGGACAGAACCTCTGCGAAGGCTCCAGAGCAATTCTGCCTGGCTCCAGAAGGGCAGTGGCTGGAACAACCAGCTCTTCACATCTGCTTAACCGTATCTCAGGACACGCTACCCACACACAACGGATCTATTCAAGGTTATAAACCACTCCGTTTCTGCTGTTTGATGAACACATCTGCCCTCCACACATGAAAACGTGCTTATATTAATTGTACAATAGAAATTAAGAAATAAAACATTTGGCAAACAGTCATACAGTACTCAAAAGCAAAAGGAATGACCAAGAGTTAAAGTATTAAGTGGATGAAACAGAAGTTGGGATATTTAATAGTGGGAGAACAGTTATCTAAAAAGCCAAGTCCAGCAGAAGACTACTCTAAAGATGTGTTTATTGCTTTGCAGCATTTACCTGAAGAATTATCAGGAGTCCAAGAACTGCTGTCTTGACATCCTCCAAAGAAGCCGAATACGACAGCAAGTCCCTCTCTTCCAGTTCAGAAGGAGATGAGAGAGAATGTGCAGCCACCTTTTACAAAGAAAAGTAATACTGGGTTTAAATTTGCAACACACCTTCTCTTTATTTTCATCCTGGAAGGTCAGGAAAGACTACAGCAAGTCACCCCTGCTGGAAATTCTGCAAGCCCCGCCAGGTAGCTTGGCTGTGCATCAGTAGGATTTCTAAAGCTCCCTTCCACTCTGCACATCAGACTTGCACCCTCCAAAACCCAGTGGTTTTACAATATCCTGTTGAGCCATGAAACTGGTAACAGTCATGGGTCAGTCTCCTCAAGCACCGCAAGATGATCTGGCAAAAGATGTGGTGATGCTACTGACAACAGATGCAACTCAGCCTCACCTTTTCTATGATATCAAGCAAGCTGTTGAAGTGGTGCGTGTTGCAGCCTTCAGCCAGGTCTACGAGTAGCTGAGTGGCCAGTTTTCGGACTTGATGGTCTTTATCCTCCGGAATATGAGCCAGCTGAGAGATCACAACCACGTTTATCAGCTCTTCCTGCAAGAGGACAGACCTTACTAAGCCTGGACATTATACTGTCAGTTGTTCAATCAGCATATTAAAGAGACAAATAATTACAAACACAAGAACATTGATATTCTGATATCAGGCTTGCTCCTCAACTGTTTGGTTCCTTGATCTTTCCTCTTCCATCCAATTAAGTAGTTCTGTATGCCATCCCTCCAAATATTTACGACTTCTGTCAAACTTGGATTCAGTGCTTTGGTTTTCATCTCTTCCACAGATTTGATAGCCCAGGCTCAAACAGACTGTTCAGAAGGATTTCTAGGGCTTGGCTTTTCAAGAGAGAGAGGAAACACGCAAAAGCATTGCGTTTTCACAAGTCTTGATGGAATCTAAGCAGCACCTCTGCCCCTTCCTGTCCTCTGACACTCTGGGTACATTCCAAGGGGCTGATGTAATCCCCAGAGCTCTTCCATAACTCCTCTCTTGGACAGTTTCCATCTTGGATTGCAATAAACTGCAAGCACCAAGACAAGTCAACCTGCTCACGTCAGATTATGTCCAGAGCTCATCTCTGTAAAAAGCTCTTAAATAAACTCTGCATCCCTCACACTGACCTTCCTTTCTTCCAAAACAAAATGTATATGGAATTAATGAACCAAATACACAACCAGACACGACCTCAAAACACAGCAGCTCCCACTGCAAGCTGCACACACCCGTACCCAACTAAGGATAATTAAAAGGCAAGTCCTCCTACAAGCATCCTAAAGAAACAGGTCTACTGTGTGCAACATGTAAAGCACAGTTCTGTGCATTCCCCAGTGGCAGAGATGACTGGAAGCACACCATAAAACACACCTCACCAAAGCCTCTCCCACCCGCTCAAGATCTCACCTGTGACCCTCAGAAACAGGTAAAGCACACACCTCATAGAACTGCCTGTTAATACTCAGGACAAAGGACAAGACATCCAGAACTTTAATACGAACAGCACTGCGACTTTCGTTCCTAAAATGGGAAGAGCAAATTCAAGATGAATAAAATAAAGTTGCTGATATTTAGGGATGGGGGGAGAGGAGAAAAGGAAAGTAAGACTAAAGTAAACTAAGAAACTTCTTCAGAGTTAAAACAATAACTGTTAGAGATCAGCTGAGCCTTCAGTTAATGTCTCTACATATGAAATCAGGCTCAAGAACAATTGGAAACTGGAACCCCAGTTCAACTTTTACTATTCTGGAGACCTGTAACTGCAGTTTTCCCATTTCCAATCTAAACTAGGAAGAAAGTGCTCCAATGAGCAAATTTAAAACCAAACATCTGGCACCAAGAAAGAGTTGCTCTTTGGCACCATTTCCCAGATAAGCCAGAAGTCTGTTATTGCTGCATGTTGATATTTCAGAGCACAAGAATACTTTTAGCAGTACCGATTCAAAACCAGATAACTTTAATGCTGGATACCCATACAGAATCCTGATGCTTAACAGGAAAGCCTCGTTTGGTGTCAGAACTACAAAGTGTTGTGGAGTGGAACACATAACTGCCCAAGCTAACTGGAATAGCACCATCCAATGGAAATAAAAAGAAAAAAAAAAAAAAAGCAGCATAAATAACTCAGTGGAAAGTTTTTCTTCTGTTAAACAAAATCCTTTCATGTACTCTGCCCTGGAACTACCATACTTCTTAGCAGTCACTTACTAACATCGGAACTTCAGAAAACAAAATTGTTTAACAAGACAAGGTGGCAAGAAACATTTGAAAGTGCCTTGTATTCACAAAGTTATGATTTCATACCTGAAGAATCTCTCCATTAACATCTGCAGGTTGTGAATCCAGCCATCTTTGGCAGGATGAATGGACTGAGCTCTGTATGTTATCAAGTTTAATACAGAAGATTCCTTTCACAGAAAGATCAAGAATTTTTTTTAGTCTATAAGAAAATACAATATACTCATTCCCCCAACCCCCACCCTGAGAATAAAGCTCATATAAGTCCTTGCTGTGATTTTCTGACCACTTGCTATTTTAGGACTCCCAACTGTCAACTGTACTGAGTAACAAAACGGATTCAACTGGCAACAAAGGAAGACATTAACACATAAAGTCTTACTGGTCTCTGATCAGCACATCTTTCCACCAGCTCAAAAAATCTCTCTTCAGAGCCATGGAATTCATTCTGGTCACAAAGTTCTTCTACTGTAGTCAAAAGATCATGTACAATGGACTTTAGTTCTTGGCTCTCCAGACTCTGAAACAGAGACAAAAACTTTCCTAAAAGACTTTCCACCTTACCAGAACATGCTAACTTCAGCTACAGAGAACTCGGTTGAGAAGCACAGTATTGAGAATTGAGCTAAAACTTCATCCAGCTTCAAAGTTCACTAGGATGTACAAACGGGAGATCAATTTGCAAAAATATTTGTGGCGAAGTCTTTTGATTGCAAGCAATCAAGACAGGCTCCACACTTACCTGCAGCTGTTGCAGTAATCGCTCCATGATGTCCAAAAGGATGTCCCACGTTACAGCTTGCAGCTCCTTCCCATACTTCTTTATTAGACGTGTTATGGACAGAACTATCTCATAAGATACAACTGCATTGGGACATGTCATGGCCTGGAACACAAAGCATTTCAGCCAGTTAACAGTTGGAAAGCAGTGATCAGAAACCCTCTTAAATGCAAATGAAACACACCTTACTAACTAGGAACTTAGCCTGAAGGTCTAAGATGAACATATTCAAGTCTATACACACAAAGGGCAAAGCAAAGAACCATTTTATAAAGTGCAGCTATGCAGTCCTGCAGGCAGCTGTAGATCAGATGTCAAATACAGTCCCATCTGACAGAGCAGACGTGAGCTTAAAGCTAGTAATTCCTGCTTGATGCACTTGGACGAGAAAATTTAAAGAGAGCCCTGAGGCTGTGCCTGAAGACACCGTCCCTCACGTTTAGTACCACACACTGGAAAGAATTAAAAGTTTTTGCAGTTTATTTTCAAAGCTAAAAGCACCCACAATGTAGATATTTGATTACAAGAATTCAGACTTTGCTTTTCTGGCCAATAAAGATATTGCAGGAGGCAGCCTCAATTTCAAACTTAAATCCACTGTTGTTTTACTGTTTCCCCACGCTTCACCCCATACTCCATTGCTGCCTCTCATCTTTCAGGCATACAGAGGTCTCTGTGGTGCAGGGGGCCACATTTCTGTTCTAAATTGGTGCAGGTCCAGATGTACACCTGACTAAGCAGTTCCTCCAGCATCCCATCCTACCTTGAGGAACGAAGGCAGCACTGAAGTTGGGGAATTCTTGAGTGAATTGAGGCGATGAGCACCCCACAGAGCCATCCCAACAAAGAACACAGCTCCCCTCAGCAGCGCTGCATCCGCCATGTAAGCTCTAAGAACAGATGGAAGGGAAGTCTTAGACCATGCTACGACTATTTTAGCTTATGAGAGTGAGTAGGAATACACACTGTCACAACAGCACTTCCCAGCTGTTATACATCAGAGCCTTGCACAGCAATTTACAAACATTAAAAGCAGAAAAATATTTAGTACAACTTTAAACAAAGGAAAATTAAATTCAGAGAAGCCAAAAAAATGAGCACTTCAGCAGAACTAGAAAGGGAATTCACTTCTAAGCACCAGAACCTTCAGTTTGTTCTGCTGTGACTCCCTATTTGTCTCAGCAGGACCTGTACTGAATTCCTTGGGTTTTGTTAGATACACCTTCGTTACCTGTCTTCCATGATCCTGCACATGTTGTAGATGGCACTGTGTCCCAAATGAGTCCCCAAAAGGTTGCGCATAAGCTGCAAATTCAAAGAGAACACTTAAATATGCGATTGTTAAAACACTCACTAGCCTAGATACGCAGTTGGCTGGCCAACCGTGCCCACTTATGGCAAGTCAATGTGTCCGGCCATTTCCACGGCACTAGAGAACAGGCAGCCTGCCACATCAGCCAAGAGGAAACCACGGGTCAATTCCACGGACCTGATGGACTTACACTAACAAAGTGCTGATCCCTTAACACTTGAAACTTTTATTAATTTACTCTTAAAAGCAAACTGAAATTTATGGCAAATGTGCATAGGCACACCCAACACTTCATCTACGAGGCCAGGACAGTAAACTCGTTAAAAAACAAAGCTACAAGAAAGTTCTGACCTTCCAGCACGGCTCGCAGAGCTCCTTCACATTGATGGTACGGCACAAAGTGATGATAAACACTGGCAGGTTCTCTGACGGCAGACAGTTGTAGCAAACAACTGCATCTAGGACTTGCAAGGAAATCTTTGGGAAAGAGAAAGGCAAAATGGTTATGTACTTCTCCAGGAACAAAGCGGGTCAAATCCTAACCTGGCAGACCCAGGAAATCTGCAAGTCAAAAGGGATACAGATATGTCTTTTTTTTTTTCTTTTTTCTTTCTAAATCATAGCAAGATGGAAAGTAAACCCTAAAATGCACTGTTGAAAAACTGATCTGCTTATGAAATTTACCAATGCTCTGTCTGTTTTAAAATAAAATTATTATTGGTGTACGAGATCCAACAGCTTACAAATACTTCATAACATTGTATTAGATCTCTTGTAATATGAGAATAAACCGAGAGGAGAGTCTGATGCTATGGTCGTCTGCAAAAGTTACGGTGTCAAAGAATTTCAAAGAAGTCTACAGTACTAAGAGGGACTGAAACTACTGACCTCTATGTCCACAGATGATGAAGTCTGAATGCACAAGAGGCATATCTTGCTGTTAGGAAAGAATATTTAATTGTAATTGTTTGTTTAATATGATTTTAGGCAAATTACAAAGAGCCAAAACAGACAAGTAAATTGGCATGTTATTTTACTCATCATTCCCCTTACTGTGCCATTGTTGATAACACTGCTAGAGACACTGAACACTATGACCTCCTAATAAAAGTTAGCTTAAAGTTGCCCTTAAACACAACTCAGTATGCCTACACTAACACGACAGCAAAGAGCCTTTGTGAGACTAATCAATGCAATCGGGTCCATCACATGAAATGGGGAAAGCACATGAAGTGACACTAAAACAGATCTGAACGTAGTGAGAACTGAAAATCAAATACGTGTCAGAAATGCCAGGTATGACCTGGAATGGAACAGATCCAGATCGGATGGAAAACATTCCACTTATCTGTGTATTGATCTGCAACTCTCCCCTGTAATTTACCAAGAATAAGCATGTAGGAGTTAAAAAAAAAAATAAAACTTACTGGACCATGTCAGCTACATAGTCTTCCAGATAGCAGCTATTGAATTTCACCAGGTTCACTAAAACCAGAAGGAACTCAGAAGTCAAACCAACATCCATCCACTGTAGCACAAAGTCAGCTAAAGAAGCAAAACAAATTGTTACGATACACTTTCTACCCAGAAGTGTTATCACTACCTGTTTCTCGTACCACTGAATGCCCATCCCTTAACTTACTCCCACCAAACTGAGGAGGGGCAGAGACAATCCTCACCTAACTCTTCTTCTAAGTAGGTGATGTATCGTCCATTCTCCGTTAGAGCCTTGAACACTTCAAGCCGTTCATGCAAGTCTTCATTGGAGGGATAGTCCTTAATAACCTTAAAAAAATGTGCTCTGAGGATCCCTAATCTCTCACCCTTAAAAAACAAAAAAGAGAGGGGGGCGGGGGGGAGAATAACAATGTCACTAATGAAACAAAGACAGTTAAGGCCTGGACCTTATCAAGGTCTGTAACAGCAATCTTCATGCTTGAAATTATTTTGTTTTCCTACGGTCTATGAAAGTCTCTTCAAAATCCCGACAACCTCTCCTGGCTACTGACAACGGCTCAGGTCTCCTCAGTCAGTTAGATCAGCACTCAGGGCTGGAGGCATTTTGTCCAGCAACACACAGACAGCATCCAACACTCAGAGTACCCCAGGGAAACTGCAAGTGGCAGCACTGCCAGGAGAGCGCTTAAAAAACAACCACCCAACAAACCAGAATCAATGCCCACTCTGAATATGAGGAAGAATTTCTTCCCTCTGAGGGTGACGGAGCACTGGAACAGGCTGCCCAGGGAGGTTGTGGAGTCTCCTTCTCTGGAGATATTCAAGACCCGCCTGGACAAGGTCCTCTACAACCTACTGTAGGTGACCCTGCTTCGGCAGGAGGGGTGGGCTAGATGACCCACAGAGGTCCCTTCCAAACCCTACCATTCTGTGATTCTGTGATTCTATTCGTAAGCACCTATCTCTGCTTTTCTAGAATACTGAAAACTAGAACTTTGGTCTGATACAGCCTTAGGTTGTGCAGCACGTTGTGAAATCTGAAGAATTCACAGTATGCTTAACTTGGCCTGGCTAGACAAGTATCTTGCACAGAACTTCTTGCATATGTGACACACTGAAACATCAAAACCAGCTTCAGACTAGGACTAATATGTCTGGGCAAAGACCATTTAAAATTTGCTATGCTATGCTGAACTTAACCCAAAACATTCCTTCCTCTACAAGAACATTGGCCCAAAACAGAAAAGTTTTCTACGAGGTGTATGAAAAGTTTTGCTACAAGATCCACCCAATAGTTAAATTAAAATGCTTCCTCTTCCCATTTACTAGGCACCACCAAAATAAGAAACACGGAAAGCTGTAGAAAAGAGCCACCCGATATTTTTCACGTTCATCCTTTGCACAGACCCTAGTTTAAGTGTAGTGTTTCTCCCATAGTTTGTTTGTTTTCACCTGTCCTTGAACGATTGACTTCAGCAGATGAAGAACGGCGTGTCTGGCTTCGACGGGGCGCTCTGGCTGGAGCATATCAGCTACCACTTTCCATATTGCTTCCACCGCGTGCTGAAAACAAACACAGGGGACAGGCAGTAGCAGGAAAGTTAAACTGCTTCTAGGATCTTTATGCAGTAGGTCAGTCGTTAATTACGGCAAGTTAATGAACAAGATCTCCAGGGATTTCACGCTGAGAGTTCTCTCTTCTGAGGGACACTCCCACCTGTCCGCTCATGAGCGCAGATGAACCACACGAGAGACACCAGCTCCTGTCCCAGGTGACAGCTGGCACCCCAGCAACCGAGTTCTTCATACACACACTTCCTTCAGCATGAACATTTGCACAGAAACCTTCACCCAAATACAAGAGGAGTTTAAACCAATCTGAGGTTGCTTATTAACAGGACAGAAGGAGCTAGCGAACACCTCTTCTGCAGGATTTACATCCTCTCCCGTCAACTGTCCTGAACAGGCCCCAACCTCCACGGCGTTCTCCTTCCGTTCAGCTCAGCAGGCCCATCAGCTACGTCCTCTCTGCTCCACGGTCGGTGGGTTGGACAAGACCAATTTCCTCGGCCATCCTTTTACAGGTTGGGACAGCACAACACACAGCTGCTGGGCTTACCGATCCTAGCAGGCAGTCTCAACTACGGGAGCCTGTCACCATAAGTTAAGAGCTGCTGCTTAAATGTTCATCCTTCAGATCTTCACTGACCACTTTGCAACTTACCTCTTCAATTTTCTTCGTTTTTGCCACTTCACAAATTTGACTGATTGCTCGTATCCTATTACTTAATCCACATTCCACGCTCAGCTCCTGGAAAGAAAGGTAGAAATCAGCTAACAGTTTATCTTACTAGAAACACTTCTCCATTTCGCAAAGGGGATCATGCACCACTGAAAAATGAATTACACATTTGTCCAAAACGATCCAACCATTAGTCATCACCGGAGCTTTTCAGGAGTCTCTCCACAAACTTTTTTCCATTAGCAAATGATTCGTCAAAACTAGCACTCTCACAGAACTGCAGCCAAGCAGCTTTGCACCTCCAGCACAGAACATCCAATTTTCTCCAGAAAAGCTAATAACTCACTGGCTGTGGCGCTCGCCCAGCTCACGGGAGCAGGGCAGGGAAAGGAGGGATGCAAAGGCTGGCTCACCAGCCTTCCAGCAGGTCAGAGCCCGGCTGCTCCAGCGCAGACGGGAAGGGATTCTGGTCTCCTTCTCCCTCCTCTGTGCTCTCCTCCCTGTGTGCCAACTGTTCTGCTTGCAGACTTGCTGCACTGATTACTGCAATTTTTTTTTTAAATTTTCACAAAACCATAAGGTTTTCATAAAATAGAAACAGTTTCCAGCTTGTGCTAACTGCCACCACATAAACTTCACCAAGCTCAGGCTCTACAAACAGAGCAACGTGTTTGAGGAAACACCCCGTAACCCAACACAGGACAACACCGTCCCATCTAATATCTCAAAAGTATTCAAACACTGAACAACGAAAATGCTGCAGCTTCAAAGCAGGCGAGATCTACATCTGTCTCACTAGAGAATGAATTGAGAGGTAAGGTAAAAGGGCATGACTGGAGAGGGAATGAATGGCAAAATGGAGAGTGAGCAAACCCTCCCTCCGATCCTCTCAGCTCAGGTCATGCGGGCACCACCCCCACCTTTGCCACGGTCAGTTCTCACACCTTGAGTATTTCTGCAGTGATGACAAACTCTGTCTGCTTGCCCTCCGACGGCTTCGAACTTCCCCGAGACGTTCCCAGCCCCAGGAGATTCCTGAACTTCTCCTTCAGTCCCGAATCCTTGCTCTGAGGCTTCGCCATTGCTGCCAGGCAAGCAGCGCCGAGCCCCTGCAAACGCAGAATTTCTGTTACGGGAGACCCACGGGGAAGCTGTAAGCACCAGCTACAGCCACCGCAGCGCGGCTTTTACAGACAGCACCGGTGTCTCCAGCCCTTTCGAACAAAGGAGAAGCCCAGCGCTGAGGACGGAACAGCGAGGAGCCCGCACGCACGTGGGGCCTGCACCGCTCCCGCCTTCAGCACCCGCACCCTGCAGCTGCCCGAGGAACATGAGTTCCATCTGAACCCAAGGAAGAACTTCTTCCCTCTGAGGGTGACGGAGCCCTGGCCCAGGCTGCCCAGGGAGGTTGTGGAGTCTCCTTCTCTGGAGATATTCAAGACCCACCTGGACAAGTCCTGTGCAGCCTGCTGTAGGTGACCCTGCTTCGGCAGGGGGGTTGGACTAGATGAACCACAGAGGGTCCTTCCAAATCCTAAGATTCTGTGATTCTGTGAACGGGGAGAGCGGGGTTATCGTCCTCCGAGAGCCTCGAAGGCCCAGCACCACCACGGCCTGCACGCAGCGACCTCCATTTTAGAACCACCGAGCTGATTTTTGAGGTGTAAACGCACCCACACGTACACGCAGGCTTTTCCTCGCTCCCAGTCCACCGGCGGCGGACGAGCCCGCAGCACGGGGACGCAGACGCCGCAAGCAGCTGGGCGCGAGGCAGGGCGTCCGAATCCAAGCGCTGGAGCATCCAAACGCCGCCACGACGAGGAGAAAGAGGGGGAGAGAAGACAAGGGCACCCATTACAGCAATGACTTCCAGAAACCCCGACCCGCTGCCCCTCGGGGACCCCGGCCCCCGGCTCGGAGCAGGACCCGCTCCTCACCGCTGGCAC